TCCCAGGAGAAATGTTTCTCTTGGCTATGGATGTTGTGATTGTCCGTAGGTGGTAGATGGTCTCTGACTGTCGAACGCGGAGGTACCACCCGGCGGTTCTCGTAGGCGGAGCCAGAATGTGTGCATGTTGCATGCACACGTGTTCCCTCGCCAGAGTCCGTGTGGCGTCTCCCCCCCCTTTCCCATGTATCCCCCTATAGCCCCACGGTACCCAATGGGTGCTTAGGACTTAGGCCTTCGTGGTAGTTGGAGTATAAAAAAAAAGCATCTGTGACCGGAAGAGGGTATGTTTCAGTGACGAATCCAAGTTCAATATGTTTGGGTCAGATGGTGTTCATTACGTTAGACGTCTTAGTGGACAAAGATTGGACCCCAAGTACACTTTGCCCACTGTCAAACATGGAGGCGGGTCTGTTATGGTTTGGCGGTGTTCTTCGGGGTTTGGGATGGGACCTTTACATAGAATAGATGGCATTATGGATAAGTTTGTATACATATACATACTAAAGCATGTCATCTTACCCTATATGGAAGACAATATGCCCTTAAGATCAGTCTTCCAGCAAGCTAATGTTCCGAAGCGCACTTCAAATCTCGCAAAGAAATTCTTTCTGGATGAAAAAATACCAGTTCTCAAATGGTCTTCACAGTCAACTGATATAAACCCGATTGAAAATCTATGGGAATACTTAGCCCAGCAAATACGAGATAAAAATTATTCAAACAAGGAGGAACTTTTTGCCGCTTTAGAGCAAAAGTGGAGACATATTGATGAATCTTATATCAAGAAACTTCTACAATCTATGCCGAAACGATGCCAGGTAGTGACTGATAATAATGGTTATCCTACAAAGTATTAACACAAACATGGTTGGTTTTCTATAATTCAATGAACTTTGCTTCTTTTTTCTATAATTGTTTTGCTTTGTCTATATATTTTTGTCCTTCATAATTCCAGTTTTTTTCAATTAATTTTTTATTGAAGGGAGTCTAATGAATTTATTTATGTATGAGTATTATGCTATAACGAATTATGTATACAGGTTGATGTATTAATAAAACAAGTTAAGAAAGAAATACAGCACAATATTAATTTGTCTACTGGTATATACTTTGTCCATTACTGTATATATACAGCATTTTGCGAAATTTTATCCTGTTAAACGTACTTCGGAATATTTTTCATGCCTATATATAAAGACTGTTAGAATTTGATACAGAATCGTACTACATATAAATTCTTAGAACATCCGAATTTGAAAATTGGCTAAGGTTAATTAAATGAAATTAAAATAAAAAGTATTTTGTGAAAATTCCGTTTCTTTCTCAAGAAATACTCGCAAAATTTTACAACTACCGTCTTAAATATACTAAGTGATATATAAATCCGAACACCCAGTTTAAATGGTTTTATTTTAATAAAATTTTGTATAAGTACTTAATGAAGCATAATAAGTAAATGATAAAAATTTCAAAATGATTGCACTGCTTTAAAGCCCTTTGACCTTTAATTATGTGTGGATGCACCCTGATGTGCTACGCATTCTCCAACGCGCCTAGGCATGCTTCTGATCAGGTGGTCAATGTCCTCCTGTGGTATCTCATTCCAGGCAACCACGAACTCCTCTCAAAGTGCTTCTAGAGTCTAGGGAGGACGTTGCAAATTGAGAAATCTTCTACCCATCATATCCCACACGTGTTCAATTGGGGATAAGTCGGGAGATCTTGGTGGCCATGGTAACAATGTGACATCATTATGTTGAAAGAAGTCTATTGTGACTCTTGGAACATGTGGTCGGGCATTATCTTGTTGGAAAGTTGGATCTGTCAGGGTGTCAAGATAGGGTAAAAGATGGGGTTCTAGAACTTCGTGGATATAACGCTGCGGGTTCATGTTACCTCTGATGAAGATTAAAGGTGACCTGGAACCATAAGCTATAGCACCCCAAACCATAACTCCAACAGTGTGATGAACATTTTCAACAAAAAACTGTGGATTCCTCCTTTCACCACGTCGTCTTCTAACCCTGGCACGACCATCGTGCATGCCTAAACAAAATCGATACTCGTCACTAAAGACAATATTGTTCCATTCCTGATCCCAGAGTGACCGTTGTCTGCACCACTCAAGGCGATTACGTCGGTGTTCTCGAGTTAAAGGGAGGACCCAGTGTGGCCGGTATGAAAACAAGACAAAACTTCTCATTCGTCGGTGAACACTTCGCATGCCAATAGGTCTTCCGTGTTCTGCAAACCATTCATTTGCAATGGACCTGGTAGTGGAGAAACGGTCCCTTAAGGCCAATAATCTCAGGCGGCGATCTTCACGTTCTGTTGTTCTACGGTGGCGTCCAGTGCCCCTTGCTCTTTGCGTACGGCCTTCTCGAAGCCATGCCTGACAACACCTAACCACAGCGTCTACACTTCTTTGCACTCTAACTGGAATTGCCCGAAAAGAAAGTCCAGCTTCCCGAAGTCCCACTATACGGCCCCTATCAAACTCACTAAGTTGACGAAATCGTACAGGTCTCCGTACTCTAGGCATCGTAACCGATCGTAAAGGATGTCGAGAACCAAAATCCGCCAACGTTGATTCTTTACTGCGGCTGAAATATTCATTTTTAGAGCGTTAGTGAATTAAAGAAAAGCAGTATAAAAACCGGAATGTCCAACTGATAAGGCTGAAAATTTTTTCACTTGTTATTTACAGTAAGATAAATACATTCACCAACTTTTATTAAAATAAAACCATTTAAACTGGGTGTTCGGATTTATATGTCACTTAGTATATATCATATATTATGTACTTACTGTATTCTCAGTAGAAAAAAATCTAAATTCTTCACTGTGTCTGTTTTCCAAAGCAATCACTTTTTTATGACACTTGGTATGGGAACCAAAAAAATCTAGTCGTTTTAGCTAGCACAACCTCATTCCACTTAAAGTTCTTTTCTTCGCGAAAAGCTAACTTGAATGAACATTTTTTGAATGTATCATCCTTAAAGTCAATTAAGAAGTTGTCCGCGTTACACAATACATGCTTTTTAATCCTTTTTTATCACAACGATACGACCCTAGACATAGGCACAAGAATTCAAATATGTACCTGTATGGTACCCAATGGTGCCTGTATGTATGTACCGACTATTTGACAACACATGACGGAACCTAAACTGCGACCTGCCGCAATATACAGGGTGTTACAATACTATTATTATTATGCTTAATGAGTTCTCTTTCAGTTTTTAGTTAATCATATTCTGGCTCAAAATTCTTTAGTCAAAACACGCATCAAATGATGGGAACATACTGACTTTCTGATAATTACCGTTCCAAGGTGGGTAAATAATAGATAAATATATGCTTTTTTTTGACTTCCACTCGCTTAAAGGGCGGAAGGTGGTTGCGAAAATCAAAAGTTCGCAATGTTTAGCGTATCAAAAAATGTAAAAAATTACATTAAGATAAACTTAGCCAAACATGCTCTTCGAGGTCTTGTAAGAGAATATTTGGACTTTGGTTGGGACACATGGCAACGTCAAACAAAAATAGTAATTTTCAATTGAGCTTTTGAGAATTGAAAATTACCATTTTCAGACTTGAAACCGGTCAACCGTAGAAGGCAGTTACCAAAATGAGCCGAAAAACCTGGGATTTTCGCTACGTAGTAAGACGGAGGTATTGCACTTGCACAATAATAAAATTGATAAATTACCTATACCTTATACAAAATGATCATTATGTGTGTATATCTACTCAGATTCCTACTAAAAATATTCGGTCCTACTCGGTAGGAACTGCGTAATACAATTTACACCTTTAGAAGAAAAGCTTTCCAACCCGATGTTTTTCATGATCAGGTATGTTGGATATTTCTTAACATGAAACAAGAGCTTGCCGGTCGGTAATCCAAAATTTAAAAAAAAAATCAATTTTTGACAGGTTTTTCGGATCGTTTTGAATAAACATATTCACAAAGTTGAGCCTTCTCGAAAAAGCCTAAAGTTGGCATTTTCAATTAATAAAAACTTGGTTCAAAATATATACTTTTGAGGTTGCCAAGTGATGAAAGTTTTCAACTACCACTTCAAGATCCAAGAGCACAAATTTGTATGAAATTATAACATCAATTCGAGATCACAGGTACTTGAAATGAGGTTATTTCATTATTTCAAAGAAATACGAGTATACCTATTACAATTAAGAAATGGACCATAGTGTATTTTACAAACACATCACGGTCCTTAATTCAAGATAGTCACTCTTGAACCAAGCATACGCTTTTTTTGTGTGTAATGTAACCGAATTTTAAATAGGTTTTTTATGTTTTGCTATGTTTACAACAGGTAAATCCATATTCATTATTTCCATCGGTCTGTCTGTCGGTTAGTGTGTCGAACTTTTCTGTCTCTGATGATAGTACCAAGTCTGATAGCCGTAGTTGCAATAGTAATCTGGGTAGTCAAAAATAGGAGGCATGCTTTTATCACCTGACCATACGTTCTTGCACTTGAAAATTCATAATTTGATGTACGCCCTCAAAGATTGCGTGTGATTACGCATTTTTCTTTCCTATATTGGGACCCCTGTAGACTGAAAGGCGATTGCTACACTCTGATGTCTTACTTTATTCGAACAGAAGCTATCTTAAGTTTCTACGGAAAGATCAAGGGATATTCTTCTCTTTCACAACAGCCAGTATCTCCAGTATTTATCGGGATTCACTGTACATCTTTTACTCTATTTGCAAGTCATCTCTCTCTTTCTCTCTCTTCATGCCTTTCCGAATTCCCTACACATCTGTTTATACAGGGAAATGGAAACATCCTTCCTAGGCTCGATACCGATACATGAGCCTTGCCTCATGTCAAGCTATGTGACAAGTTCTCTTACGACCAGGCACGTATTGCCCAGATACAAAACTAGGATCGCTTCTTTAGGAGTAGATATTTTATCGCCTACTGACTGTTAAAGATGTAGCGGTGGAAAGTAAACGAAAATTATTCTGAGATGTGTCTATATTACCATTTTAATGTTCATACAATTTTCGCAATTAACTTTGCAATTACATTTAATGAAGGTAACGCAAGTAGTAGATTTTGTATTGATCGTGGTGCTTATGTTGCGGTTTCTCTTCCTTATGGTAATGCTCATGGTGATGCTCGTGTTCATGTTTCTCTTCTTTATGGTGCTCTACAGGGTGTTCATAATGCTTGTGTTCTGGCTCATGGTGCTTATATTCTGGCTCCTGGTGCTTGTATTGTGACCTTTCTTCTTTATGCTCTTCCATATGATGTTCATGATGTTCGAGGTGTGGCTTCTCTTCGTGGTGTTGCTCAGGTTTTTCTTCCTTATGATACTCTTGGTGATCATAAGGCTTGTGCTCGGGTTTTTCCATGTGGTGGTGTTCCTCGTGTTCGTGTTTTTCCTCCTTATGGTACTGATCGTGCTCCGGATACTTGTAGATGAAGGCATCTGGGTTAGGAGCAGCATCCAGTATTTCAAAATAAGCAGCCATGGAGGCCAGAAGCAGAGCGATGGCAATGAATGTCTTCATGATGTCGAACTGCAATTAAAAAGGTTGCAAAGTGAATTATGCAAAATGAACAAAAAAATAAGTCCACGATTTTCGACATTTTAAAAACTTTCAAAAATCTCAGGATTTTCAAAATTTTCTAAATTGTCAATGTTTTCGAACTACAAATTTTTTTGGAATTGCAGTTTTGAAAATTTTTAAGATTTTGAAAACCTGTGAAGTGTCATTACGTATTTAAAAAATCAAATGAGAAATTACTTAAACGGCACTCAGTGTGAATTCAACCTCCATATTTTGGCGATAGTAGCTTCAAAGATGACTAGGTAATTGAAACAATGTTAGAAACCATGACAAATGCACTGATGAATAGGTAAAATAATGGCGTATCACTGAATCACTTTCTTTGTCTAAAGTGGGAGGAAAAAATTTTGTTTTTGGAGAAGTGTGCCATTATTGACCGACACAAACTGTGCTTTTCACCTCATTTGTTAAACGGTCAAGATAGAAAGCTGGAATTCAGGGTGATTCTTAAAAACAATGTTTTACCGAAAAGCTGGCAGTTGAACATTTTAAGATGGCGGCTGGGGCCACTTTGGAGTATTCTTGCAAATAGAATGATGGGTCGTGTGAAACCCCAATTTGGAGTTCCTTATGAATGCTTTATATCTCTAAAATATAAAATCATTGTCTTTAAAAATGGCGATCTGGCAAGCTGTCAAAGTTAAGCATCTTTATATATTGAGTTGCTTATCACTCAACAACTAACCATCAAAATATTATATGCATAGTATATCAATCTTCTTCAATTGGAAGGATCTATCCGGATATGTAATTAAATATGGAACATTCCATTAAAAGAAATCAAAACCTGTCAAAATAGACTCTTGCAAAAGGAGAAGATTGATGTACAATAACTATAACGCTTTGATGATTAGTTTTTGAGCTATAAATGTACAAAAACTCTCAAATTTGACAGCCTGTCAGTCCGTGATTTTAGTTGGTTAAGGTAGCCAGATATTTATATTACGCAGGCACTAGATTGGCGCATGTGTTGCAAATTTTAAATAGAATATATCACTTTGTTACTGAGATAATTCCAATAACTTTTACGGGTTTATCGGATTAGTCAAAATATAATAAATCAAAATTATTCCGAAAATTATAGTATGAATTATATTAATGCATTAAGGGCATTACTTACCAAATGATTTTCTCAGAATAGCACTGCTTACACTCTGATACTGCTTACTTAGCAGAACACTAGCCAGTGACTTCTGAAATCTACAGTCGCAGGTCTTCAATTTATATCATCAAAGCAATACTATTTAGCATACAAGTAATTGTTTATCGGATGAAATCAATGATCATGGAATTAAGATAATTAATAATTGCATATTTATATTGCATGTCTAGCATAGCGCAATGTCAGGTTAATGTGGTAAGAGAATTGAAAATTCAATTCTTTCATTTTGAATCACATGTTGTATACAACTAACTGGTTATGTGGAAACTATTAATAAAAAACAATTCAATGACATATATGCAAAAGTCATTAACATGGGAATCTATTCAGTTGTAATTATTTTATTCATTTCTTCGTCATGCCAAAATGAAGATAACCATGGAATAAGTAAATATACAAAAAGTGTACTTTTGTGCTTTTTTGTTCGCGAATTCATTGTTTTTGCCAAAGTGCACAAATTACGTGCCTTTCATTTATTAAATTTAAAATAGCGGTGCTTTCCATGCATCAGTATCAACCTATTTTCAAGGAACACTCTCTTATTTTCGAAACTACTCCACGTTAACTGCATTTTTAAGATTCTAGTGTATGAATGTACCCAAACATCACACTTCTTTCGACTTTTCTCGGAAATTACAGGTAAAACCAAGTTGGCGATGTCCCGATTTCTCCGCTGACGCAGGACCAAAGTCAAAAATCACTGATGTTGTTCTTATAATGGCGGTAATTTCAAAATTTCATCTCGAGTGGTACTTTCGGAGTTATATAAGACCAAGGAACAGCTGAAAGTCATACGTCAGGCGGATAGACAGCTTTTCATTAAGCACATACATTATCAAAAAGCACCTCAAGTACGAATTTTTCGTCATTACAATACTCTCATGCCTAATTACATTGCCTGAAATGTTTAGGGTCAATCTCAAATTGAGTTTTTGTTTCAAGACTCCGATTTCATGAAAACTCAATTAAAATAAATTTACGTTTGACAACAGTGCTGTACTGTAGTAACTTTTTAGAAAAATGCGACTGCAACTATAACTCATTTGACTGAATTGGTTGTCCGTTTTCTTTCAAACCAAAGATATCCAAATAAAATAGGAAATCCAGTGATATAATCATAAGTCCTTCTATTTAGATTGATCGAAAGTAATTTCGCTTTGGTCATGCCTTTGGATCGTCCTTATCAGTTTAAAAATAGCAAAAAGGCATTCATTTCGGTGTAGCTTCATGTTATCGTTACGTGAGCTTTTCCGAACTTAATGAGTAATTTTGTACTGGGTATATGTGTATGGTTATAGAAATCTTATGCGCCGTGATGTAGTCAAGGCTTTGTGTGTCCCTAATTCTCATAGTATGTAGTGAGGATCAAAGTGCACTTGACATAACGTCACCCTAGAGTTACACTGTTGTATGTCGTGTTTTTCTTGATTTTTAGGTGACAGTATTATATAGTTGTATGTGCATTGAACTTTGACCATACAGAGTTTCAAAGTTCTATCTTACATCCTTAAATTTATATTATCAGAAATACACAGCTGTATCTGGATTACGTTGGAATTACAAAGTGGCATGTAATACATATAACTTTGTGATAGCAGTAACAAAATTTTTCATGAACGGTACATACAACTTTGTTGTACTGAAACTGAAATCTTTCGCATCGAGTCGCATTATTCCAGAGTTAACACACAAAGGGAGTATCTAGATTCTACCCTCAGTAAAAAGCAAATGTACAGGCTCTATGTTCAAAGTTGTACCGCTGCTCATAAGAATGCTGTAAGAGTCTTTTTAGAGAAAAATATTTTCTACAGAGTTATACCTCCATGTTCCAAAAAAGATAGGTGTGACGTCTGCGAAGAGGCAAAATCAAGGAAAATCAAGAATACTCTAACTGCTGAAAAGGCTATCAGATAGGAGAAGCATGTAAAAGAAAAAACTGCAACGATAAATGATAAAGAAAAAGACAGAGAATGCCAAAATAGTCTATTTTTGGTATTTGATCCACAAAATGTTCTGCCGTGTCACCAGTAGAAATTAGCCATTTCTATTAGAAAAGCAAACTTAATGTTTATAATTTAACGGCAATAGTGTCAAGTACAAAACAAGTAGAGCTGGCAATGACTTAACTAGTGCTTTGATTAAAATTTTCAAAGTGGTTTTTGCAGTAAACTATAAAGTTTAATTCTTTGGTGTGATAGTTGCGTCCCTCAAAACAGAAATAGTCTTATATCTTATGCTATAGCATATTTCTTACTAATCAAACTTTCAATTCAAACTATAACTATGAAATTTTCAACTCCGAAACATTCATGTAGCCAGGAAACTGATTCTTTTTCTGATACCGAAGCATCCGCGCAGGCAGAAGCCTAATGCCAGGACACCGCGGTTGCTATGGGGATACGAAGGAAATTTTGTTAATCCGATTCTTGAACTGCCTAAAGTCCTCTTGTAGATTGTTCCACAATCTTGACTCCCTCGGAACAAAGGAGCGGTCGAATCGGCCAGTTCTGGATGTACGAAGTTCGATACAGTAGGATGGGAGGCCAAAGACAGGCGGGTCTGTCTGTCAAGCTCATCGCGCATCGGCATCATGGACGAGAGCTCTGAGGAGCAAAGCCCGTGGGTGTAGCATTAGAAGAGAGCTAGATCGCCGACGGCCCGCCGGTGCGAAAGGGTTTCGAGACTGTCTGTTGGAGAAGAGACGTCGATCAGTCGGACAGCCCTCCTCTGGACAGCATCGAGCATTCATTCCGACGTTGACGGTACAAATCAATGACACGTACTAAGAAGTCACCAAGAAACGACTGGATTTGGACCTAACTAATCCAAATAATGATTAAATTCCTGCATAGCATGTGAAAATCCTGCCTTCTGTCACCTAATAAGCTACTGTCCTTTTGGTGATGAGTAGATAGCATTGATTCTAGAATTCCAATTGACCTAATTCTTACACTAGACAAATAATTCTCACATAACGGCACACATATCTACACGCAAGGAACATTGAACATTTCGTGCCGATAGATTGCATCATCAGTATTTATTCCTTTCCGAAAATATATCTAGCGTCAGTCCAGACAAGCTTCGGGTGTTTCTGGGTCTACAGTTGACGGACTGAAATATCGCTGACATAATTTCATAGATATGACCTACATTCTGAAATACTGGACGGCTTTGGCAGGAAAGAATGACGCATTATGGTCGTTTTGTGAATATTTGGAGATGGAATAATTATTTCCCACCCCGCCCTTTGCCTGCCTGAACGGTCCGTAGTCAGGTCAGTCATGGTTGCCAAGGAAAAAGGAAGAGAAAATGTAATCGCGAAAACTTCAAAAAAACCATGTCAATCATTTCCATCGGTCTGTCTGTCCGATAATATTTGACCGCCTATAACATGGAAAGTACTGGTTGGATTTGGACATTTTCACACAATGTTACTGCTATGCCAAGGGCGCGAAATCTTAGTTTTTGAAAATGGGTCCAGTGGCGCCGGAGCTAGGACCAAAACACAAAGAACATAAAAATGACTTAGACTTCGTTTTTGACGTTTCAGAGGATCCTAATCTGTTTCATAAAAACTTTTGTAGACGTTGGAAATTGGGGGTTTGGGATTTGTAGGGGGTGGAAGAAGGTACATCTCATTTTGTTAGCGTTAATAGTTATACGCTTCCAGCCCCAATGATTTTAGGTACCTATCAGTACATATTTCACACATCAAAGACTTTCTCGTACATTTGCTTCTATAACTTAGAGAAATATTAATAGACGAAACACGCGGCCGGTCGGAACGATGTGTTGCAACGGTATCGTGGCAGACATTTATGACCGCTGTGACTGATATGGTCCAGCAGCGTTGCCAGATGGTCGATACTTAGGGTAGGAAAGAAACTAGCGTTAGCGTTATAAAATGGACGGAGTGACTACGGAGTACGTACTAATTGTATGTCTGTAGATACCTCAGAGCCAGACTAGGTTAAGTCCAAATAAGTAGTTTTGAGATAATTTAACATTGTCCTTGCATTGTATACTTTATGCGACTTACATTGAGTTAAAAAGTCGTAACTTCCTTATTATTACAGGCAGATGAACGCTGGTTGAAGCAAATGAAAACTCACAATATTATCATAAGCCTAACAACATACTAAAATCATTTTTGACAAACATATAATTAACCTAGTCTGGTTCTGGGGTACAGATATGGGCCTGCTTGACTGATTCGATCATTTTTTTTTTGTTATACATCAGTATAGCTAACTCAAAAGGAATAACTTGAGCCAAACATAATTATTTATGAACTGATGACTGCATTCCGTTGGAGGTGAGGTCAACCTAATGGACGCAATTTTTTCTAACTAGTTAACAGTATCGCGGTCCTCACTATGCGTGTTAATTGTTTTATTCTTGATACTAAAACTGGGAAATTGTGACAGCCCATTTCCTGTTCGGTTCTTTAACTGCTTGAAATGAAATTAGAGAACGTAAGCTTCGACACTCAATGCCAGCGACGAATAAAAACCGCTGCATCAATATGTTTCGAATACTTAAGTTTTGCAGGAAAATATATATTTTTGGAAAAGATCTGGGATACTGAATAGTATCGTCCTAGGTTGTATCACTACAGACCATCACTTGTGCGTGCTTTAAAAACGATGCCGAAACTTGGCCACTGTAGTACCAGTGGTGCTTTGACAGGGTTGCAATGTTCGAGGATTTCCCCCCAAATTTGGGTGATTTTTAGTTAGGAAATTATTCGAGGATATAATGTTCTGGGGAAAATCGCGCAGATAGAAAGCCTCCCCTCGCTCTTTAAGCCAAACCTTTCCATTAATTAACTTTGATAAGTGGGATTTTTTGTAAAAGTAGCAATTCTGAGGGATTTTTGTGCTTTTTCTGGGGAAATTGTGTCCGACCTATCGGGCAATGGTGTGCTTTGACAGATTTACCATATGAACACCAACAAAAGTAGCAATTCTGAGGATCTTTGTGCTTGTTCTGAGGAAATTATGTCCGACGCATCTGACATCGCTGTGCTTTGACAGATCTGCCATATCAACACCAACAAACACATTAACATTTAGCTGATTGTAAATTAACTATTTTTGCTCATATCTTGTAAATCCTTGG